CCCCACCAGGTTCCCATCCTGGTGCAGGATGCATTTTAATGGCAACCATGTGTCATGTGTCCTCCCTCACAGATGGATTTAAGGTGCACACAGGCAAACACTGACCCACTTTCTCCTTTTCGCAAAGGAGTAGCACACTGCGCATCCTGTTCGCCTGTTGCCCTCCCAGTTTACCTGTACTGTACTGGTAAATAAGGACTTTCTCATTCATAGTTACCTGTTCCCCTCCCTTGGGCATTTAGTTGGTCCTACCTTCTGCCGCTGTGAGACATACTGCTCAGTGATATGCTCGTGTTATTTTGCATGTGTGCCCTTCTATCTATATTATAAATTTTTAAAAGTAGAATTGCTAGGCTGCATAGGTAAAATGCATTTCTGTCTGTGGAGATTGTGCCTCCTCAATGTACACTTTCACCAGCAACATGTGAGATGCCTGCCAACACAGGGTCTTGGTGAGCCTTTGGGTTTTAACCCCTGTAATGGGTAGAGCATCATATCTTAGTACAGTTTTATCTGAATGCAGTCATCCATGTCTTCGCATGTTAGAGTCCGTTTTCTTTTCTGTGAGCTCTCTGCTCAGATCCCTGGCTTTGCCGTTGGGAGGTGTAGGTACCTTTATAAAGGAGGGGAAGTTGTGAGATACGTTGCAGTTAGTGTTTTCTTTGTTTTTATTTTGGTGGCCTCTGGGTGTTAGAGGAAATCAGGGAAGCCTTAAATAGCCCTCACCAAGTGGTAGTTTTGGTTTCTGGTCCTCCTGCTCTGGAGAACTTGACCCAGAATGGGATTTTTGGTCTCGTAGTTCTACCGTCTTTCTTTCCCACGTGATTACATGGACGTTTTCTCTGCGATAAAAAAATTGCTGTCCTCTGGTCTTAGGTTGGCTGGTATCAGAAATCTCTTGGAAACTGTTGCCTTACTCTGAGTGGGAATATGGCATGCCTCAGCTAGGCTAACCTGGAATTAAAAAGCAAACCAGAAACAGACTTTACATTCCTGAAGAGAGAATGGACTGTGGTTTCTTATGCTTGAACTGCTCTGGCAAGCTGCAGAGATGAGATCCTGGATTACCGACTCCTGGGCCAGCCGCAGTCAGAGCTTGAGGCAGCCAGTGCCCCCTTGTGGGCATCAGTATAAAGGAGAAGGACAGGAATCAGAGTTTTTGACAAAAACAGCTCCCAGGGTCTACTGCCCAGCACTTAGCTTCCTTCTCACTCAGGCATTCTGCTGTGTTAGCATTCAGGATCAAATTTCCTCCAGGCGAACCCCTCCCCCCGCACTCTGTTCCCAGACCCCACCCTGACCAGTCCTGGTCCTGGGCCCACCCCAAGGAATCCAGGGGCAGTTGTGTATTCCCCTGTACCTGTCCCCGCCTGGCAACAGCAACAGCTCTGTGACCACCCAGGAGCCCCCTGGCCTTTGGCCTTCCCTCTGACCTTTGGCCTTCCCTCTGACCTTATCCCATCAGGTCTGTGTTGGCCTTGAGGGTCTGGCCTGGCCTGCTCCCGCTCCTGTAGGATGCACTGCGCCTTGGAGCTGAGAGAGGGAGGACGAGTTTCCATTACTGATCAGGCAGCGTAGAACACAGATGGTGACTTCCCGACACATCCCTGAGAAAGATTTTCTCAGCAGAAATGAGAGACAGGAAGCTGTGAGACTTAGTGACATTGGAGATTGAGGTAGGACTTTACAAAGGAGTCATTCTAGATTTTGTGTTTTAATTAAAATCCAGGGCTATGGTGTGGCCTGGGAGGCTGTCCAGGGCCTGGCCGGGTGGGTGATGGTGGGTGCGCAGGGGACTTCACATCTGCTCCTCGCTGCCTCGTGCTTTTGCCTGTCCAGAACAGAGATGGGTCCACAGACACCTCCACCAATATCCTGGGAGTTTTAGTCCCTATTTCCATAAAATGTTCCTACATTTGTTTGAAATGTCAAGGTGGGCCTTTTGGACTTTGACCTCTCGGATCAGGTGCAGCGTCCCACTGCATCTAGTAGGAAGCTTAGCTGTGTGTGGGACTAAAGGGACCTGAGGGCTGGCTTTGCAGGCCCCTGGCCTAGGGCAGGAGGAAGGCTGACCAAAGGATGTTTCTGTTATTAGCCAAAGGTTAGGAACTGACATTCTCAGATGCTGAGATCTGAGGGTGCTGGAATAAGCTTTTGCACATTTCCGCCTGGGACGTGAAAGGTAAGAACACGTTTTGGGCCAGTGTGTAGACTCGTGCACAGTCATTGCTTTAGAACTGGGGCTCTGTATCTCGTGTCGCAGACAGGGCTTGGCTCTCCCTTCTGGCCCATAGCTGTGTGAGGGGCTGGATAAGCCTCCCATGGTGGGGGCGGCAGCAGTATTTTTCTATAGTGTTTTCAGACCAAACCATTAACTGCCCTACAGAGAGAATTACAAGCTTAGTAGGAACCTTTTAGGACCCAAACTCCTACTCTGCTAGTCATGTCTTCAAACTGTACTTTACAAACAGGCACAAACCTTTCTTTTTCTCCTCTAGACAGACTTCAGTGCGGCTCCTGGCTTACCTCTTGCCACAGGGGATTTACAGGGCTTCTCTGGGAGCTTACAGGCCGTTTTCTCCAGGGATTCTAGGGTGTGTGGCTGGCCCTCTAGGGCACTGCTGGGGCAGCGCTCAGGGTCTCTACATTGTTTGTAGAGGGATACCAGTCTTGGGGCAGTGTGCACAGTGTGTACCAGGTGGTGTGACCAGGGCTCCGGGGGTGGCTGACATGGTGGAGATGCTACACGGATATGATTCATGTCCTTTGCACCCAAATCCAGCACTTGCTGTTGTCCCTCTCTGAGGCTTGTCCCAAGCCCTCTCCACCTCCCACATGCATACCCCTGTACCCTCCTCTACTTGTCCCTTTTCCTACAGCTTTCTCTAGCTTTTTATGTTCCATACAATTTGCTTTTCTACTCACTGAGTAGGGGCCCCCCCAGGTGCAGGGCTGTAAGGTGTACCCCAAGAGCCGGAACCAGTGCTTAGAGCCTCAGCACATGTCAGGTGGTTGGTGATGCACATGGCATTGCTGGGCTCCTGGGTGGAGCAGAAACAGCTACATTCAAAATGGTAGGACTCTCTTTTTAATTCTGATGCTGTGGTGTTCGAACAGCTACTCTGAGTCATATCCTAAAGACGACAACTCAAAAATAGGAAGACCTTTATTTTCAATTAGCCAGCCTTTCTGATCAGGTATAAAGTGAAACAGGGAAGGGGCCTGGTCAGTTCATTCTCCCTACAGCCCTTGGTTTTCCTCGTTCTTTTCTTCCTTTTTGTGTATGGGTGCCAAGAGCATAAATATTGTTCGGTCAAGTGGAGCCACTAACCTGGGTCCCCTGGTTACCTCTTGTGGTGTGACCTTTGATTCTTTAAAAGGCTGGGCTTTCTCTCAGGGTTCGGTGTGAGCTGTCCAGCTCACAGAAACCTTTGGCCAAGGAGGGGTGAGGCTGTAGGAGCCTCTATCTGCTCAGATGTACTAACTTAGCACTCAGTTCTGGAAGATGCGAAGAGTGGGCTCTTTCTCCGGGATCTTGGGGAAAGACCCGGTGTCTCTTCCTCAAACTGTAACACTCATCAGACCTGTTCCTGGGTTTCACCATGTGGGACTGTGGTGTTAGCAGCCTTCCAGACTCAGCCACAGCCTGTAGCCCCTTATCCCCTGAAGCCAAAGGAGTTCTGACTGTCCTTCCCAGGGGGACTCCTTGGTGACGCGGAGGCCCTAGGAGAACATAGGTGTTCCCGGTGTTCTCGAGGCCAGGCCCACAGAGAGTGTTTGGGAGCTGTGGGGCAGTTTGCAGTAAGCAGATGGTTGGTGTTAGCAGAAATCCTAGGGGCAGTTGAGGTCACAGATGTGCTCTGTGTTCCTCCTTTTCTTTTCTCTCCCCATTGCCCAGTCCCTACTTAAGAGAATAAAGACTTATTTTTTCACTTGAAATTGCTGACCACAGATTCTGCCAGCCCTTCTGCAGAGCTGTAGGGAGAAGCTTGGGGTCATTGGTCTGCTTCTTGAGGCTTCAGGGAAGAGACTAGAAGAACAACCTGTGGGTGCAGGAAGTGAGGGCCATAGGCTGCCTCCCAGCACCATGCACTTGTGTGCCCCCATGAGAGGCTTAAGATTGGGGCGAGGCAGCAGCTCCTGCCAACCCTCCCCAACCCTCTGGCCCATCCCACACTTGGCCGGATGTGGGCGTCTTTGCCTGTACAGCCAACTGGAAATAGCATAGTGGGTTGGAATGTGCTGGGAAGAGCACCACTTGGCCTAGCTGTGTCAGGGTAGGGTAGGCCTTCACAGTGGGCACAGGTCTCCCTCTCATTCCCCTGCTGGGGACACAATGAGGACCAGCTACCAGGGCTTTGCTTAGACAGTTGCTTCTCCTCTATGTCAAACATCAAGTGCTGTCAGCAGTTAGTATAGGGGCTGTGCAGCTAGGCTGTGGGGCGGAGGTGGGCTGGCTTCTCTGCCTGGGAGTTTCAGAAGCTCCTGCTGGAAACAACCCTTCGGTGTGTGGTTCTCTAGTGCAGGGAGTACCACGTGGAGCTGCCAGGAGCCTGTCTTCTGGGCAAAGATTCCTGGGAGATAGTTCACCCAAAGCAGGAAGCACATTCCTCAGGCCCCTTTCTTTCCTTGATCCATGAAATACTTCTCTGTGCACCCCAAGTACCTCACACGTAAGCAACCATACTGTGAGCAGCGAACAAAACACAAGACCCCACCCCACAACTGAATTCTGGTTGAGGAAATGGCATTAACCAGCAGCAAGTAGGTGTGTCTGAGCAGTGAGCGATGAGATTGCCTGTGGGGCCAGGGCCAGGGCCAGGGCTCACCTCACTGAAAAGGCGGCACTTGAGTTGAGACCTGAAGGAGAGAAGGAGCCCCAGGGCACCTGGAAGGAGAGCTCATGGTTAAGGGCAAAGTCCACGGGCCCTGAGAATAGCAGAGTGGCTGGTGCAGCTGGACCTACCTGGGGTAGGAAACAAGGTCAGAGAAACGTGGGCACATCATATGGGGCTGCTGGCATTTTGGGGTCTTGGCTGGGATTGCCGAGGGGGGAGTTGTGTGGTCTGACTGAGGAAGGTGGACGGAGGGGGCTGGTGCTGAGAAGGTCTGGACTTTCTAGGCCCCTGCAAGGAGCAGACAGGATTTGCTGATGGTTTGAGGTGGGACGTGAGAGAAGTGAGGAGTTAGAGACAGAGTTGCCATGCCCGAGCGAGGTTTGGGCTAGAAAGAACCACACTGTCATCACTGCTGCTCATTTGGACAGTTGCTTGGTGTACCTGGAGTGCTGCTGGCATCTGCAGGGAGTAGGGTGCTAGCTATGTGTTCCTTCCCGACAGGATATTCTAGAGGACTTGCCACTCCCCACCCTTCCTCTCCTGCCCAGTTCTTTTGAGAGACAGATCCTGCCCTGCCTGCTGCCCACCTGTGGTGGGGCCTTCTTCAGATGTGCAGGAGGGGGCCTTAGACCACCCTGGTTCACTGAGCTTCAGAAACAGAGTTAGAAGAGGCTTTCCCTGACGCCTTGCACCCTGGTTAGGCTACAAAGTTCAGGGCTAGCCAGAAATACAGTTTGTATGTATGTGTTCCTAACACATTTTCTTCTCTTCAACCTACTAAGGTCTGGAAAGATACTTTCTTGCCCCAGAGGTCTCCACTTGCAGTTTCCTCTGATCAGCAGGAGTGGTGGACTGGGAAGAGCACCCGCAGGCGGGGTTTTGTGTGATCTGTGCGCGTGGGTGGAAGTTGCTGTGTGAATGACACTGACAGTAATGGTGCCCGCTGTCTGCAGCTTGTGCACATCTGGCGTTGTGCGGCTGCACATCAACAGCTGGCTGGAGGTGAGCTTCTGCCTGCCCCACAAGATCCACTATGCTGCTGCAAGCCTCATCCCGCCTGAGGCCATCGAGCGGAGCCTGAAGGCCATCCGGTGAGTGCCAGCCCCATGCATGCACCCTGCGGGGCCCCTTCTTTTTAGCTTCTGTCTGAGGTTTCACTAATTACTTTGTGAAATTTTCTTTTCCTCTTCCTGCCACGGAAATTGGCAGATAGGGCTCTCCTATTTATAGAAATGAAAACACATGTTTTTGTGTCTTGGTTCTGTACAGAAATGGACCAGCTCCAGGTTTTCCCTGGGCCCTCTCTGTACTGCCTGGGTGAGGGGGGCTCCGTGCTGAGGTCCTCGCCTCAGGTCTGGGCACCGTGAGGCTGAGCACCTGGGGAGAAGCTGTACCACTGGAGGGATGTCGTCTTCGTGGTGTTGCTCATTGGCTCTTCTGGCATTTGAATCTAAACTTGCAGGATCTCCATTTCTTAATAGAACTGATTTCCTGCAAAGAAAGAGCTGGGCCCAGTCTCAGCCTCACCAATCAAGTGCCCACTTTCCTTAAATATTTTTTAATTAAAAAAAGAAGTATGGGCAGAAAATTCGAAGACATCGGGAAGCGAAGCACTGCCTCGTTCTTTCTCCCTCTCCCAGTCTGTGCTCCAAGTTAGTATCTTTCCTCCTAGGCTTCCTTACTGAGCTTATTTTTATGTATTTCTATTCATAGTCTCAGCAGCGGTTTTGCTTTTCCCATATTTAGGATTCTTTTCTTAGGAAAGATTCATTCATTTTTTTCAATCAAAGACACAGAACGATGTTTGCTGGGCAATCCGATGTGGGAGATTGGTGAGAGGCCTTCCTCGGTTTCATTCTAATTTGTTTTTTTCCTGAGAGTGACACTAATCCTTGCAGATGTTTAAAGGCCCCTGGACATACCAATGCCCTTGTCTCTAATTCCTCCCGTGGTCTCTCTGAGATTCAGTGCCTGTGGGTCCCAGCTGCCCCTTTGCATTCCAGGTGCACACCTGGTGTAGGGGACCTGTGGCTTGCATGTCCCACTGACCTAACTCTGCTCCACAGCCCGTACCATGCCCTGCTGCTGCTCAGCGATGAGAAGTCCCTGCTGAGTGAGCTCCCGCTCGACTGCTCCCCAGCCCTGGTGCGTGTGATCAAGACCACATCTGCTGTGAAGAACCTGCAGCAGCTGGCTCAGGACGCAGACTTGGCCTTGCTGCAGGTATTGCCCCGGGGGCTTGGGGAGACACCCTGGATGGGGAAGAATGGGTGAGAGGAGGAGCTGGGCACATTAAAGCAGGTCACCGTGGTTGAAGATGGGAGGCACCAGGGGGTCAGGAAAGCGTACCACCTCTGTTCAGCTGAGAACTGGTGACAGGTAATTCTGGGGTTGGTTGAAGGTTCTGGAATCTGAGACCTAGATTCAGGGCTGGCTTGTGAACTAGCCTCGGGGCTGACTTCCTCCTATATGTCGAGGGTGGTGAGGTTGTAGCAGAGAGGAGTGAGGCCCTCTGGTGCTGGGAGGATGGGATGTCAGGGTGGAGTGGCTTGCAGGGCTGAAGCAGGGGCACATAGCATGTGGCCATGTTAGAAAGCAGTACCACATCCCCACTTCGCCAGTGTGGGAAGTGAGGGCAGGACACTTGGACGTGGGCCTGCCCACGTGCAGAGCCAGGACCTAACATAGTGGCCTTCACCCCCGCGTGTGAACGTGTGTGCTGCGCAAGATGCCAGCCCCTGGCTGAGCCATGTGCTTGTGGGCTGCCCTTTCTGACTGGATGGAGGGCCTTTCAGCCCCGGCTGTGGATCTCCTCATCGGAGCCTGTGTAGGAGCTGGGGGCGTGGAAGAGCACAGGGAAGCATTGCAGGGGTGCCTTCCAAATGACGTCCTGAGAGTGGAACCCAGGTTCTGGTGACAGTGGGCACCATGTGGCCACCAGGGGGCACCAGGGCCTGGCTCAGGGGCCTGTGCTTCCTGCAAAGGCCAGTAGGCAGTAGCTTTCTCAGGCTGGGCTGAGGAAGGGGAGCACCGGCGAGAGGCTGGCGTGCTTGGGCCCCTGAGAGGCATCAGGGAAGTTTGTCCAACAAGGCCTGACCCAAAGCAGTCTTTTTGTATTCTGTCATCCAGAAGAAGTCTTTCCCTCATCTGTACCCCAAGACTTTTGTCCACGCCTGTGAAAACATTTATTGGATTTTGCCTTGGAGTTTCATACAGGCTCCTGGACTGGATGGGATCCAGTGAGGACCACATCCTACTTGCCTTTATAGCATCCACAAGACAGAACCGTGAATGTGCTCCCCATTCTGTATGCACTGCAGAGTTTGTGTTCTGACCCGTACCGGCTAAGTGGCAGATACCTGTAAGTCTCTGCAGCTCCCATTTCAAGTTTTGAAAGGGGCCGGCCTCTCACTGTCCTCTGAGGCTCCCCGACATGGAGTCCTTCTGGACGTTGTGCCTCACCCTTGCTGTCAGTTTCCTTGGACAAAGACAAAGCTTTGACCTTTTGCTTCTCTGCCCTGGCCTCGTTTTGGGGAAACTGTTGATTACTTGCACACCCACTGCTGGTATGGTTGCACGGAAGCTCCCCGGGGCCCAGCCCTGGTGATGGATCTCACCAATGCTGGGACTCCTGCTTCCTACAGCAGATGGCACAGTGGAGGCCATCAGATGTGAATGTCGCCATATGATTTTAAAACACCTACGAAAAAAAATATTTGGGGAATTAATACATTCTTTCTTACAAAAGTTCAAATAGCACACAAATTATAGACAAAAAAAGAGAAAGTTCCCACAATCCTATATCCTAGAGGTAACCACTGTAGATTCCTCCAAGTTTTTATATATATATTAACATATTATCTTTGAATAACAAAATTTGGATCACATTGTATATTACTTGTGATTGGTTGAACAATGCCCACAGACCTCCACATTCTAATCCCTGGGACTTTACGTGGGACTTTGCAGATGTGATTAAGGATGTTGAGATGAAACAATGGTCTTGGATTATCTGTGTGAGCAGAGGGAGATGTGACTATAGAAGAGGAGGCAGGGATGTGGCCATGATACGGCCACACGCCAAGGAACACTGCAGCTCAGAGGCAAAGAACATTCTCTCTTAGAGTCTCTGGAGAAAATTGTCCTGCCAACACCTTGACTCCAGCCATGCGATACTGATTCAGACTTATGGCCTCCAAAATGGTGCCATAAGTAGAGATTGGCAAGAGGTGGAGACCCCTGGGTGAGGGTAGTAGCAGAGATGGAGGAAAGTGGGCATGTCCTTGCTTTAGAGCAAATGTCAACAGGACTTGGGATGAGAGGGTCAGTGATGAAACTGAAATTTCTGCTGCGTTCAAGTCGGTGCTGCCACTGGAAGTCTCATGTGCTGAGACGAGGTAGAGGTGTCCTTGGTACTGTCACAGGCATTGCATGCAGGTAGGGGAGACTTACCCCCTCAGAGGCACCCAGTCATGGTAATGGGGACAGGAGGCCCACCTGGAGTGATGCTCACCTGGGATGACGCAGAATCAGGAATACCCAGTGCTGTTCTCTCCATGAAGTGCTGCAGTGCTGTGTTCTCAGACCTGGCCTCCCCTCATGGGTCTGGGAGGGATTTCTGCATCTGGTCTGTCTGTGGCCCATCCTGATGCCTGAGAGTGCAGGCGAGCAGGGCAGTGCGATGTTCTCCAAGGATGCTGGGACACACAAAGATGAGATGTCCACATCTGTTGTCGTGTGGAAACCCATCCCTATGCTGGATTCTCGGTAGGGAGGTAGGGAGCCAGCCTCTCCCAGGATGGCCAACCAACCCCTTTGCTCAGCTGAGCTGACTCCATGATCCTGGTTGCCCAAATGTCCCTGTGCTCGTGAGACCTTTCCTCAGTGCCAGCGAGGACAGCACAGGCCTTTAATGGGAAATGATACTCCCAAACCAGTGATAGAAAGGCTTATTGCGCTGAGTACAGAAAACTTGTGTGCTGGCTGTGCCCAGCATTCTGGGGCAAGTTGGGTAATCAGGGAAGAAGCCCCAGTGAGTCAGCCTCCCAGGCACTGTCCTGCCAGCTCCCTCTGCCCACAGGTTTTCCAGCTTGCAGCTCACCTGGTATACTGGGGCAAGGCCATCATCATCTACCCACTGTGTGAGAACAATGTCTACATGCTTTCTCCCAACGCCAGCGTGTGTCTGTGAGTACCTCTGGCTGCCAGAGTCTAGGGCCCCTGAGTGGGAAAGGGGCGTGGCTGGCAGGGCCTTCCAGTGGTGCTCCTCGGGTCAGCCAGGCCTTCACTTGGACCAGATGCCTGGCCTCTGTTGTGCCCAGGTTCCAGTTCTCGCCTGGTCCAGCACCATGGGGCCCTCCCTGGGCCTGTGTTCCTCTGGCACTTGTAGTCTCCAGGAGGGCCTGCGCCTGCCCATGGCTACAGCTAGTGAGCTCTGGATGGGGCACTTAATGGGAGGTCAGGAGCTTTGGCCTTGATTCGGGGGCTCGGAGGGGCTATGGGGTGGCCTGTGCCCAGGGCTTCTGCCACCCCTTGAGGGAGAGCAGCTGGGCTCTGTCCTCATTGTTCCCATCATGGCCTACCCATCATGCTGCTGCCCACTGTAGGCTTGTGGCAAGGGCACGGGTGCTATGAAACATGCTGGGGAGGTCGCCGAGCTCATGCACACACTTGCCTCACCTGTCCCCAGGTACTCCCCACTGGCCGAGCAGTTCTCCCACCAGTTCCCGTCTCATGACCTGCCATCTGTTCTTGCTAAGTTCTCCTTGCCTGTCTCCTTGTCAGAATTTAGGAACCCCCTTGCTCCCCCTGTGCAGGAGGTGAGTTGCAGAAGCTTGGGAGCCCAGGAACCACCTACCTAGCGTTGGTTCCTGATCCCAAGGGCCGTCAATGCTGCTCCACCCTTAGCTTTGGTTGGCGGGGCGGGGCTGGAAGGGCCTTGCTGTATAGGTAGTACATGTCCTACCAGGGTGAGGAAAAGCTGGCTCCTCAGTCAGGCCACCTGCAGATGCTTGGCAGTGACCCAACATCTGGACAGTCCCAAGTCCCTCCCAGCCCCACCCTTTCAGGGAGTCCCCCTCGGCTGCAGTAGGTTGTTAGGGTTAGAACTGCATTAAGAAGCCCAGTCAGGAGAGCGCTGAACTTTTGTGGGAGGACAGAGCCGCATGGTGCCCTCTTCTGGGCTTGGGTCCCCCAGATGGAGATAGCTTTGTTTTCACTGAGCCTGGGCCCCACCCTCCTTTCCTTTCCCTTGCATAGTCCAGGTGGTCACTGGGTCTAGGTTCACTGGTCCCCAGAATCTCATCCAAGAGGATCTGGAGAGGATAGGGCTGGGATAGGACCCACTAAGTGGGCCTGGGGCAGGCGGGCCTCCAGGGAGGTGTGAGGAGTGTGGAATGAATGAGTGAATTCTATCTGTGGCAGGATTGAGTGTGCCCTGCATCCTCCCGTCCACTGAATGCCTGGGGCTCTGGGGAGGGACCCAGGGCACAGCCAGGTGGGATGGGTGTCGGAGAGATGGGGCTGGGTGTTCTCAAAGCTTTGTCTTCATAACTAAAGTATTTGCTTGAATAAGCACTAGATCTGTTCGGCAAAACCACTTCTTAAAAGCAAACCCTTTTCTTTATCAAATTGTGAATGAGAAGGCACTCCTGGTTCCTCAGCTCATTTAGATGCTGAGTGCAACAGAGTTCTAAATGCCGTCTTTCATGGAGCCTTTGGTCTCCAGGAACTGTGCCAGGTCGTGCCAGCTGAATGAAAGACACTTTGCATTTGCACCCTCCCTCTCCCCAGCAGAAACTTCCTGATGTTCTGGAAGGCGAGTGGATTTTCCAGGCCACGCCTGAGGGGTCACTTTGTGCCTTGTCAGGGGTCCCAGATAGAGCTGGGCCCAGATGGTTCGGCACAGTCCTGGGGTGAGGCTGCCTGCCTCTCACACTAGCTGCTTCAGGCCCAAAATATGCTCTTCGGTGCTTATCAAGCCTCTTTGTTTTATTAATTTTATTTTACAATCCTTTTCAATTTTATTTGGTTTGACCAGGTCATACATGCCCATGGTACACCCTTATTTCCATGCCTGGTCAGCCATCCCCTCCCAGGAGGGGACCACCCAAAGATGTGCAAGCGGGTGTGTGTGTCTGAGAACATGGACACCATCTGCGTGCATTTTCCTGCTCACCGGAGTTGGAGCTCCACCCGCACAGGGCTTCTCACTGCTCCTAGTCAGGTGCCAGCCCTATGGGAGAGGGGTGGATGCCGTGTCCCAGGGACTGCACAGCAGGGGTCCCTGTCCCTGGACAGGCTTTCAGGTTGACTTGAGGAGAGGACTTCCTGCTCTCAGGACAGCTACTCACAGTCTCTTTCTGAAGTGTCCAGGCCACAAGGAGAGTGTCCCACAGCCTGCTCTGTGGTGGTGGGGCATGAGTGGCAGGGCCCAGTGGCTGGGGGAGACAAGGCGGAGCTGGGGCGGCTCAGAATCAGGGTACAGGGAACTCCATGTCACAGGCCCTGTTCCTCAGTGCTGGGCAAAAAAGGCCAGACGCTAGGGCAGCCCAGGAGTGTGGTGGGAGCAAGTGCAGGTGTGGCCCTGCTGCTCTCTTGGCCTTCCTGCCTTTCCCGGAGGTTAGGTTGGGCTCAGAGAGCTAGCCAGCAGCTAAGAGCTCCTTTCTGAGGTGGGAGCCTTCCTGCCTGGACTCGGGGCCCTGGAGCTTATGCACCCCCCCATCTCCAGGGTGACTCATGAGGGTCTTGTCTTAGGCCGTGGTTCCCTGATCCTCTCAGGAAGGGAACAGGGTGGTGATGGAGGCCAGCCTCCCCAACTGCCCCAGGCCTCACACTGCCTGTCCTGCAGACCCAGCTCATTCAGATGGTGATATGGATGCTGCAGCACAGGCTCCTCGTCCAGCTGCACACCTATGTTTGCCTGATGGCCTCGCCCAGTGAGGATGAGCCCCGCCCACGAGAGGACGAGGTCCCCTTCACCACCAGGGTCGGCGGTCGCAGCCTCAGCACACCCAATGCCCTCAGCTTTGGCTCCCCAAGTAGGAGCCCTCTGCCCAGGGCATCTATCTGGTGTGGCGGGGTGGGGGAGGGAGGGCACCTGGGGGGACACTTGGGAGTGGTGGCTAGGAAGTTCGACAGGGGCAGTGCTGGGAATGACCGAGGCACCTTCACATGGCCACACATGCACACACACCCACCCCTCATGTGGGCGGCTAGGTCCTCATGCAGATAGCCTCCCTTGAAGGAGTACAGGAAACCCCACTCCCCCACATCCCTGTACTTCTGTACCTTTGGTCTCTTGAGCAGCCTGCCCAAGTCTGTCATGTGATTCCCAGCCTGGGATCAAAGCAAATTTCAAACCATCACTGGGAGGACAGTTGAAGCCTCTGTGCCCCAGGGGTTATAAAGATACTGTCATAGTCCCTTCATGCCCCCAAAGGCAGCAGCCCAGTGCTAAGGCCCAGGCCCTGGATTTGGGGAAGAAGAGAGGCCGGAAGGCTTTAGGGGCAGCACCTGCCCAGGCTGAGGCCTGGCCTTGGGCTTCAAGGCGTACTGTGAGGACCTGGCTTGCCCAGGGTTCTCCATTGTCCACATGGTATAGAGGGGTGTCCTTGGGGGCCCAGCTGCTCCCTAACCCCTGCCTACCCACAGCCAGCAGTGACGACATGACGCTCACTAGCCCCAGCATGGACAACTCCAGCGCAGAGCTTCTCCCCAGTGGGGACTCCCCGCTGAACAAGAGGATGACAGAAAACCTGCTGGCCAGCCTGTCGGAGCATGAGCGGGCAGCCATCCTCAGTGTTCCCGCAGCCCAGAACCCTGAGGACCTCCGCATGTTTGCCAGGTGGGAGCCAGGTGACTGGTGAGACGAGGGCCAAGTCTAGGATCAGGACAGGAAGTGGATTGGGATATATCCAACAAACCCCAACCTAACTCCATGACGACGTGGCATTCACTGGTCAAGGGAGGTGTCTCAGGCACTCAGGTGGCTCCACCTGGTGTGTATGCTAGGCGTGGGGAGTGTGATCTGTTGCTGAGACACTGGGTCTGATGCCTCTCTGTGGGAGTCTCTCCGATATCTCCTGCGTGTTTCTTGTCACTTCTTGGGAAGCAGTAGCAAGTTCTCATCCTCCTGGGTCTTAGCAGGGATTTTTCCCAGGACTCAGCCCGGACGGGAGGAATCCAGGATTCCCACATCAGGTGATACAGACTTTGTCACACCGACCCCTGACTTAGGGGTACTGTAGGTGCATGGTTTTCTGGGAGAGGTCAGGCTGTCAGGGACTGATCCCCCAGTTAAGAACCATATGCTAAGCTGCTCTTTGAATTAGCTGGGCCAGGCCTCCTCTGTACCAGCCCAGCCACAGACAACCCTTAGAACAATGACCCCATTTGGATCCAGAGCCACGTGGGGCTTGCTGCCACAGTAGCATGAAAAAAGAGAAGCTTCTGGCAGACCTGTCTCCCTGCACTGCCCACACCCACACCCACACCAGAACGCTGAGGGTGGATATGACTCCCAGGCTCAGGCCATGTGGGTCCTTGCAGACCTACTTCAGTGGACTAGGGTGGGTGAGAGGCCCAGGATGCTTCCCTGCTCCTTTTGTGGGATGGGATGTGGGTAGCTGCCTCCCTTGGCCTCTGAGACTCCTGCACCAGTTCTGCTTTGGCCCGTTGGCCAAGCAGGCTGTTAGAACAGAGGCTGGCTTGGCTCATGCCACCCCTCCCCTCCAGGCTCCTGCACTACTTCCGTGGTCGCCACCACCTAGAGGAGATCATGTACAATGAGAACACTCGGCGCTCCCAGCTGCTCATGCTCTTTGACAAGTTCCGGAGCGTGCTGGTGGTGACCACCCACGAGGACCCGGTCATCGCCGTCTTCCAGGCACTGCTCACATAAGCCTACACCGAGGCAGGCTGCTGCAGTGGGAATGGGGTTGGGGGGCCACTGACAGCTCCCCACCCCAGGGCTTTCTCCCTACCCAGCCTGAGTCCTCTTAGCCCAGAAGCTCAATTTCAGCCTAGTTCAGCAGCCTCTGCAGTCTTAGTCTCATGTAGTTCTCAAAACAGTCCCAGTGTCTCTGAGCTGAGAAGCTGAGGCTCTGAGCTGCGGGGAGTGTCCAGGACTCATGTTCTTAGTGAGGCCTGCGTGCTTCCCATACAGGTTTGGGCCACACATTTCTCTGACCTTCTCCCCAACCCTCCAGTACCCTGGCCCCCCCCCACCCCCCCACCCCTGCCCGCCCTGCTGCCCTTCCAAGATTGTGAGGGCTGAGTGTCTGGTCCATCCTGTAACTTACTTGCTGTGTGCCTTTCCTGGCCTGGCCCTTACCACAGTCCTGTATTAGCCACCAGGAGGCTCATGGCTCAGCCGTCAACCCACTTTGCCACCTGAGGCACGAGGGCCTGGTGAATGTGCTGCTTACCCAGCTCCTCCTTGGGAGTGGGTCTGCACTGGCACTTAGTCCTCCCTCATATGGATGCAGTGGGGGGCATGCATCAGGCCTGAGGAAGGAAGCATCCACACTGGGCCTGGCTCTAGGTACCCTGCTGCACAGATGTGCTCCTGATCTCCCTCCTCATTCTGGAGAAGGAACTGACCACTGAGGGAGGCTCTGGTTGGGATGCAGGCATCACTGTTTTCTAGAAATGAAGCATTTATTTGTTTTTTAAACAATTAAAAAGCCTGTCCTGAGCAGGCCATTGCTCAGGCCTGTGCGGCCTGCTCAGCTACTCTGTCGACCACACTGACCCAGGGGCTGCCCTGGATATAGAAGCGCAGGGGCTTCTGGGCCCACTCTCCTGCATAGCCAATGCCTACTCGGGCTGCTGCCACCACAGCTGGCTCCCTGAGCTCAGGGGGGCCAGGCTCCAGCCAGATGGCCTTGTCCTCGGCCAGGTCCCGCTGGTCAAAGTTCTTGTTGATGGCGAGGGCCTGACAGAGCTTGGAGGGGCCACTGCAGAGCTCACGGTCTTTGAGGGCTCGGCCAGCTGTGCCCTTCCGGTGGGTGCTGCGAAGCTGCCGCATGGTCTCCAGGCCCTCCAGGGGCTCTAGCGCTCGAAGCAGGATGCATGCTCCATCCCCTGTGGGACAGACGGACAGCCTGGAAGTGGAGCCTCCCCAGGCAGTTGGCCTCCCTTACCCCAGTGCTGCAGGGATGACATGGCTGCCTTCTGAGCATCCCATACTCTCTTGTCCAGACCTTCTGCCTGCCGCCTCCTCCTGCACACCTGCACCTACGAGGCCCCAGGTAGGGCCTCCTGCATGAAGCCAGAAGGCCTGACTACCACTAAGGGAACCTGTAAAAACGCTTAGTGAGTATGTGTAGTTAGTGGCCTCTTCTGGTTTGGTGATCAGCGGCTGTGAGGCTGGCCAAGGAAACCCCAGATAGCCAGTCCTCCCTGGGCATGGTCACCCCACCAGGGAGCAGAAAGCCTCAAGCCTGGCCCAGATCCCTACTTGGTCCTTGGGTCCCCACTGCCACCTCCACCCACTCAGTGTCTGTTGGGCAACCCAGAAGGTAGCTCATAGCAGCTACCAATGTGCACAGGCAAGCCCCACCCCATGACCCAGTGGGGACATTGACAGGGCAGGAGGAGGTGCTGGCAGTGCCCCTCACCTGTATGGGATCCCTCTGGCCCAGCCTTCCCCATCAGTCCAGGCCACTTCAGAGTTAGCAAATTGATACCCCAGATGCTCAAGATGACACATCTGTCCAAATTTCTTTGGTCCTTCATGGTTGAGGACAGTGATTACTTAGGACTAGGCCAGAGGAGCCCTGACCCCAACAAGACCACTCCTGAGACACTGGCTCTCTTGACTTACTTGGCCCAGCCCTCCACCTGAGAGTCTGAAAGGCCCAAGGGTTGTCCCCACTCTTGTGCCTTGTCCACAAAAACCTTGTAATCAGTACCTGGGAACTGGCCCTGAGTGGACACAGCAGACATACCTGCCTGCACAGCCAGCAGCTAGCAAGTGGGGTTTTTATGACCAAATGCCCTTTAACCAGCCAGTTTTCAGAGGATCTCGAGATACATACTCAAGAGCAAGCAAAGCCTTTAAGTTCCAGTCCCTGTGATTCCTGAGACCCTCCCAGCCCACCAGCCTCAGGGCTTCCTGTGTCCACCCTGAGCCCCTGTAGGTGTGACATGTCCCTCATTGTCTCAGTGAGCCCTTAGATGAGTCAAAAGAGCAGCCTACACCCTTTATCACCATACCATCTCCCCACTCCCAGTTTCTGGAACACATCCGAGTCCTACATCCCGACATAAAAGCATAAGACCCTAATCTCTTCCTACCAAGTCTCCACAGTCTCACCTCTACGCTGCCTGCACCACATTCTTGGCCTTGGCAATCTCACCTCTCTGCTCTCCTGGTCATCTCTATGCCGCCTCCACCCTGCAGGTGGCGAACCTCATGTCCTTGGCCTCCCCTCTCACTGTACCTGGATGGCCCACTGCACCCATGTGGTCTCCTGCCCCCCAAACTAGGCGTGCCTGGGGTATCTTGATCATATGTCCAGAAAGGAACATGCCACCTCCTGCATCTGCCCTATCCACTGTACCCTCAGAAGCCCTGGCTCTTCCTTCCATCTCTGACCACAGCCCCAGGCATCTTTGGACTCAGTCTCCCTCCTTGTCTGAGTTCAGTCCCACCTCATGTGATAGGGGTGGCTGTTACCAAAGAAAAGCTCAACGACCAAAATAAGTTCTCCAGGGTGATTACAGGGCCCTTTGGGGGTGGTCCCCACCATCCTTTGATGTTCAGTCACTCACTCAGTTTCACTCATTACTCTGTATCAGGCATACGGTCAGTCATGAGTTCCTCCCATCTTCTAGCCCCTATGGCTTTGACACTGGACGTCTCATCGTCCTCTTCAGGCAATCACAACTCCTGCGTCACTGGAATCATGCAACAAATGTGTGACAGGATACCAGACCCTAGCTCCTCACTGGCCTCTTCAAGCATCGGCTCATCTTGGGACCAGCAGGGGGAAGGCTCGGCAGTCAGAGGGATGCTGGGACTGGTTAGCCAGAGTGGGCTGGGCCGACCCTGCTCCTGGTCAGCAGTGGCTCTGGCAGGATGATGCTGTGGGCTCTTCTGAGCACAGACCACCCAGTAAACATAGCTACCTACTCAAGAAGGGCAGAAGCTGCTCCAGATGGGTCCCACAAGGTGAGTGGGTTTTCTTGGGAGCTCTAAACTAGCATCTCCCCATTCGGCACTACTGACATTTGGGGCTAGATTGTCCTCTGCAGTGGGGGCTGTGAGGTGCTCAGCATCATCCCACCAGCTGTGATGACCAAAAATGTCTCTAGATACTGCCTAATGTTTTTCTAGGGTGACAGAATCATTCCTGATTGAGAACAAGTTATTCAGCCTGGCAAGGCTCCTGCTTGAGTCCAGCTCAACCCGAATCGATTTCAC